GTCCATTGAGAGTGAGAAGTGGAGTTTTTAAGTTACATAGATCACCATGTAAGCAGGTGAATCATACAGTTTGTTTATTCGTGAAAAATTATGTAGAAACTGCAGAGCTAGTGTATAAGTACAAATAGATTAATCATCACGATCAGAAGAGAAAGTTACAGTGGGATCGCACAATTTATGGAGACTCACTAATCACATGGTCATCCCCTTGTGTGGTGCAATTTTTAGTTCTTTTAAGCCCCATCCTGGCTTTCACCGGGGGTCCTGAATATAGCCGAGCCATAAATGTGGCCATAGCGGCTGAAAGGGCCTTCTGTGACCTCTCCACGGGTGATCGTCATCCGCATGGTGACACTTCATGTCACCGGGTATTCATCGCTTGTGTGATGTCCTGGTGGGGTACAACAAAAGAAAGAGAGAGATAATCGGTAGCTTGAATGTTGAAATAGGAATCGAATCACAGAACAGCACTCTGGACATTCCCTTAAGCGCTCCGTCTCTAACTTCAGCAGCAAGCGCAGAGTTCCAGTTCCAATGGTACCAGTAACTTTCTGAGTGTATGTCCGTGTCGCCTTTCACTTGAGTGTTGAGAGTTGGCCGATAGACTGGTTAATCCTCGCAGCACCATTCTCCGCAGAACATTTGTGCTGCTGCGCTGTTCGCTCGTTCCCAAAAGACGCTTACAATATTCAGCCAGAATATTTTCCTGTTTACCAGCACGCCGCCATGAGCTGGAGACAATGTCTAAAAGCCGACAGCCATCCGGGACCTGGTTATGATGATGACATGCGTGTACATCTGTTCTCGAGCCAGCGGAAGCCTGCATTGATTGCCTCAACCTCCATTTTCTAACTAGATGTTGTATTATATGTTAGGCTTTGCTGCACTCAGCGACGTCCATTCGCTTTTGCTTTGAACTTCCATGCACTTGGTCTGCCTTTCAACACAGAGCCATCAGTATCGTTAATCATATCACCTGGGCGGAAATTATCATAAATAATTATTCTTGTCAACTTCTGATTCTGCAGCGCCTTGTACATATCACTACACATATCTGATTGTTGCTCAGACACTGACCAGTTCCTCTCCTCACCCAATATTATCGAGCCTGCACACATGTTTAATTGTGTCGTCAGCTTGCGCTATCCGAGACCTTTCTCTTTTCAGTCTGTAACCCGTATCTCTATCTAGGGACTCATTTAGAATGTGCTTCTTGTCTGCGGCTACTCTGAGATATGACTTAGCTTATAATACTTTGAGCCTATCTATAATAGTCGGCAGTGCAAGTATATAACGCATACATACTACCGGGGAATCTCTTGTACATCCCAGAATTACCCTTATGATTTCAATCTGCATGCGTTCAAGTTTTATCAGCTGTCTTCGAAACGGTGAGCATTCCAAGTTCATAATCTATTAGTAAGAGAATCATATGCTTGAACACTGTGAACAGCATTCTTTGGTCCATGTCCATTGCTGCCACAATCTCAACATAATCCCCGAATGACAGGCTTCTTTTGAAAGTGATACCCAGGTACCTCTATTTGCCTTCTCTTCACGGTGTTGTTACAAGACAATGCTCGTTCATATATGGCACTAGTAGTCAAGGACCACCTTTAGCAACAACAGATTAGGACGTCCTTCATCAACAGATTCATGTCTTACCGTAGCCAGTTGTCTCAAATTGTTTTTCTCTCGTCGAGCACACGTGGAAGTAATTGGTGTGTAGGCTGCGAAGAAGACAAAATCCTACAGAAAATCATCACCAGTTATCACAATCCTAGCAAGAAGTATGCAAAAATATGCACCAACAATGGACAGTGTCATTGGCTCTATGAAATGGCGTTGTAAAGCAGTGATAACAACTCAGGGTGGACACCAATCATTCAATTAGGTTCCGTCTCCACAATGAAGGTTGGCTGCCATTGATGTCCAACATGCTCTCTCTCTCGCTCTCTCTCTCTCTTTCTTGTCTTGTTTGTGCACTCTCTCAGACTGCTGTTCGCCCATTCCCTGATATTATCAGCCCATTTGTAATGTTTTCTACCTCTTGCTCTCTTACTATCGATCCTTCCTTCTCGTATTGTTCTAAAAGCGTATCATCTTTTTTTAATGTGGCCAAAATATTTCAAATCTCTCTCTCTCTCTCTCTCTCTCTCACTCTCTCTCTCTCTCTCTCTCTTTAATCTAATTTATTTCAATAACCCTCTCTTCATTTGTTGTCGTTCCAGAACTTACGTATTTGACTGTTTCTGTTTCCAAGAAATACTGCTTAATCTGAGCACCTATGGACATGTCCGGAGTGCAATGAGGATAACCCAACTAACTAACTAACTAACTAACTGCTTAATCTGTATATCCGCATTTCCAGAGACCCAATTCGATTTTCTAGTTGTCTGTTCATTGTCCAAGTTTCTGCACCACATAGCACGGTTGAGTATACATAACATTGCCCGGCTCTCTAGCGAAGTTGGTTAAACCTGATTTTCGCTGCGGCCGGGTGACGAACTCCTTGTGGTCCGGGTTCATTCCCGGGGGTAGGCAGAAAAGCCACATTTCTCCCAGATTAATGCCTATAATGGAATCAAGGCCGAAGGCTTGCGATATCCATAGTACCGAGCCAAAGGGTTTACAACTCATGGTTTCTGGATACAAAACATTCGACGACTGTCATTTTTAATGCATTGATTATCTTTCTTGCTGTGAATAGTGTTCACATCTTATTGAAGATAGTTTGAGCCATTCTTTTTCTCTTTTTGATTTCTGTTTAACTTCTGCTATTTTCTGTTGCTACATGTAATAGAAAGGAGAAGTTTGTTATCTGTTCTAACATAACTTCTTTAACTGTTATGTTCATTGCTGGTCGTTCTTTTTCATTTTAATTACCATAGTTGTTGTTTTTCTTATGTTAATGTCTTGACCATACACTGCACTACGTCTGTTGACTTAATTCTCCAGGTATTGCAACGCCTTTTGTTATTTAAAAACGCCACCTGGCTGTCATCTGGACACCCTAATTAAACTTAAGGGTTCAGCAGGGTTTCTGGGACTAACGGCCCGGGGATTCAGACCAGAAAAGTGGCCCTCGGTGTCACCTGAGATTAGTCGCTCGTTGTGCGGTTCCGGTGGGAGTTGAACTCGCTTACTTAACCCTGTTCGATTTGTGCTACGGTTATGTTTCTTTACATCCTTCTTAGCACGTAATTTTTTTGTTATTTGAAGCCCCACTCTGGCTTTTGCCAGGGGCCGCAATATAGACAGGCCATCAATATGGCCAATTGTCTGAACGCGGTTTTTGAGACCTCTCCACGGTGATCTTCATCCGCATGGTGGCACTTTGAGTCATCGGGTGTTTATCGCTTGTGTGATGTCCTGGTGGGGTAGAAATTCAGTCAGTCAGTATGCTACGGTGGATATACATGGTAATTAGATCGAGGTTTCATTTGTGTTGTTGTTTGTTTGGATGCCAACCTGATTAGAGTTTCTAATCTTGCTTTCCTGCTACTCTCGTTAAAATCAAAGTGACCTAATTGGTATGTTATTCAGTATTCGCCATAATGTATCATCATCATTATAATATGCCCTGCAAACTGGCATAGGCGCTCCTACGTTTCCACAGATCACTATCCCTTGTTGCCTGGAACAACTCTCTTGAGCGCGGGCTCTCTCTCTCTCTCCATAATGTATGCCTCTGTTTATTTCATTTCCTCCAGGGAATCAGTGAAATGCTTCGAGTTCTACCCCTTTCCAATTTTCTGAGAGGGTCTCGAGGGCGCCAGCCTTGTTTATGTAATTAATAATAGTAAAACGATGAATGACAAATTAATATAATACAATATTAAAAAATAATTTGGGCTGTACCATGAAATACTTTAAAAGTAAATGCCTATGCATGGTTGGCGGGGGTGGGATAAAAGCGATCCTTTTTACATTTTCTTTTTTAGAAGCTCAAAAGGCTAGGGCGTCCACATACAGTATAAAGGGCTTATGTATGTATATATATAGGCCTAATTAGAAGAAGCATGAATCAAGAGGAAAACAGAACCATAAGGGTAGGAGAGACACAATCGGACACAGGAAAGGATGGAGCGGTCTGACTGACAGAAACAAGGACTTAGCCAGAGAGCTGGCACAAATATCAGAATATTGGTCACAGAAGTGGCGCAAATAAACCAGGCACACATATAACCGGAGACTGTTGGCGGCTTCGGCTGGCTAACAACAGAGGTTGAACGGTCGAGTTTTTTTTTAAACTCAACTGAGTTAAGTTGAGTTGATTCAAGAACCAACATCACAGCACTCGGAGAATTTCCATAAACGCTCCCTCTCCATCTTCAGCAGCCAGTGCAGAGTTTTAATACTAATGGTGCCTGTAGAATTCTGATAAAACGCCCGTCTTGCCTTTCCTATGTGCCTCGAGCATCAGCCAGAACCCCTCGTCACTCCCCACTGCATCAATCTCACCAGACTGTAGTGATCCATCTGCTCCCCCGAACTGTACAGGCTCTCCCAAAAGCACTAACCACGTTTGCCTTAGCATGCATCAGTATTCCACCAAGTTGTGCGGAGCCAGCCAGTCTGTCCGCCTGTTCATTTCCCATAATATATAGACTTGGACTTGTGTGGATATATATATATATATATATATATATATATATATATATATATATATATATATATATATATATATATATATATACATACACACCCACACGTGCACACAGTGTAGAAAAGAAGAACAAGCAAGACTGTTTCCATTAATTTTATCGACATATGTACAATATTTGTAAAATGTCGCCAGACAACACAAGACGTATCCGGTAACAACAAGCGCCCGTCTGTAGAACAATCGTCCACGTCGACATTTCAGCACGCAGCCCACGTGACCAGCCTGACACGACACAGAAGAGGGTTTTCCGGCTTCTCCCCGACCTCGCCGCTGTGTTGATCTGCAATATATTCTACGTTTATCGGCGCCGCCACCTCTTAGAAACTACACAATGGCTAGTAAGTTATAGCTTTAGTTGTTTCTGCTAATATAGTATTGGTATAAGAGTTTCATTTTAACGAATAAATTATAACGAAGGTGTTGAAATGTTTGAAACGTAACCAGATATCACTGACAAGAAGCACAGAGAGAGGAGAGCGTCGAGTTGGCATGGGCTAGCTACGGTTTGGATTTTGTGACGTGGATGGCTTACAGTAGGCAATTTTATGATCTTTTCATTGTCTTGTTACTATAAATTAGACTTGAATGTTTTGTTTGAGGCTGTAACGCTGCGTTTGTCTTGTTTTCAGTACGCTTTCTCGAGTTTGTGAAACCGTTTTGCGTGATTCTGCCCGAAATCGCCAAGCCTGACAGAAAGGTAAGGATGATCATTATTTATTACTCACTGTATGCAGTGAAAAAATGTAAAAATCGAGTTGGGGTTTTCTGTTTCACTTTCATACTATTTTCTTTTCCTCTAGCAAGGGAAATATTTTGAAGTCTTTATTCACATATTTTTAGTTATAATATGTCACTGAGGGGGAAAAAAGATGATGAAAGAATAAAAAGAAATTGCACTGGCACTAGTTAGTGATATGCTAGTGCAGAATAGTTCATTAATTCACTTCAATATTATTGCATTTCTTTAGCTTTAATTTATATTTCTAGGATGAAATTCTGTTTTGAAGAATCTGTTAATTTGAGGAGAAAAATAAATACTGCTACAACTAAGCAGCTGTTTATATTTTCTGTTTGTTGCCATATCAACCATCTCTTCTGAATGATGAATGTCTCAGCCTAAAGAGCAGGAACTGTCAAATCAATATTATAACAGATGTATTTTATGTGTTGGCTGCATGCAGCTTTACCAGTGATTCTTCTTAGCTTTTACCAGCTGTAAAATCAGGCTTAAAATTCTAGTTGTTTGTTTACTTATGGACTTTATGGTTGTGTACCAGAACTTCTTGCAAAGGACATCAGTTTTGGTTTTACAGATCTGGCTCATGTGTATGTAAACTGTTGGTTTATGTTTATGTAGACTGTTGGTGAAACCCCTGTCCAGAGGCTGCATTTCGACTTCGAAGAGAAGTGCTTTTACAACATTTTTGTTATGGGGCAGTGGACCCACCCCCCTCCGTATTTTTGCATCTTTGCAACTTAAGCAGGGATTTACCAGTGTTAAATAATTTGCCAGTTTATTTTCAGAGGAAGCATAGTGATTATTACTGCTGTTTACCAATAACACTGTAACAGAATGCTCTAGATGGATGACAGGTTTGTTAGGACAGGAGATGCTATACCATTGTGCAGCATTCCTGTACTTATATGCCGTATCAGCAGAACTAGTAAACAGTTAGAAACAAGCCCTTGGAAGGTTAGCTGTTAGCCTAATTCATAAATTTGACATATATAGAACTAGATGATACGAGCAAGATGCACTTATGGAAATCCACAGTGAGAGTGTAAATAGTGAACAGGATTGACATACTGGAACTTTCTAGAGTCTGTTAGTTACACACACACACACAAATAGCAATCCTTACATGCCAAAATCTAGATTAAAAGTTCAGAAACGGTTTCAGCAGCCTTGATATTTTGAGTTGCCAGTGCTAAATTTAGGGGCTAGTAATGTTTACCCTGATAGATGAGCAACCATCAGTATTCATGTTGTAGATTCAGTACTAGAAAGTGGCGTCCCAAGGAGGAGGGCAGCTACAAAGACACTGGAAAGAAAACTTGAGATGAGACTCAGACTATAGAAACATCTCACAAGCTATATACCATATTCAACAGAGACATATGTTACTAGAAAAACAAAGGATGGTGAAGCCTTGGACTTCACACCATTACAGCAATATATGCTATGTGAATTAGTTTTACCTTCTATAATTCTACTAGAATCTCCATGTTTTTTGTACACATTGATATATAAACAGCCAGTCATAAGATTTCTCTAAGGTGAACACTGATTTCTCCACAGTAAGAGGTTAAAAAAAAGATTTAATCTTATGAGGATACTTCTTTACACCAGTTTGATCTCTTATACATTTTTTATCCTCTACTAAGGACTTGTTGTGACCCTTGATTTATTGAAAAGCGTCTCAAGGCCTTAAAAAGAATGTGCAGAGAATATCTAATGTCCTTAAAGTTTGCCATCAATAACCATAAAATAAAAATGATTGATTTCCAGAAATGAAAAGACTTTTTATAAAACCCATATGTTAGACAGTCCAGTCATTGTCACTATATCAAAGAATAAAGCCGAGCTTTGTAGGGAAGCAACACCCCCATCTTTTCCTAACAAAAAATGATTGGTACAGGAGTAATTGTGCTCTGCTTGGGGATGAGACCTGGTTTTCTTCTTTGTTGTTTTCTTAAGATATTAACTTAATTCTTTTGATGTGCTATTTTTAACAGTTGACTGATGACAGATGGATTAAAATGAGAGTAGTTTTACTGTGTACTGCCTGTGTATCTCTACCTCTTCCTTCCTCTCTTTGTCATTCTCTCTTCATTTTGTTCTGCCTGTCTCACACCACTTCTTTGTATCTGTCTGTCAGTGTTTCTGTCTGCCTATCTCTCTCTTCTTGTCTCATGTGTCTTTTATCTCTGCTTCATGTGTGTATCTCTTTCTCCATCCCTGTGTATCTCGTCTGTTTGCTTCACTCTCTCTCACTTCCTTTCTGTATCTGTCTTTTTTTGTCTCTCTTTTTTTGTGTATCTTTCTGCCCCCCCCCCCCCTTCTCTCTCTCTCTCTTTATCTCTTTGTTTCTCTCTCTCCCTTCCTCTCTATATCTTTGTCTGTTTACCCATCCCCTTCGCTTCCTCTGTTTCTTTTTATATCTCTCCTACCGTCTCTGAATTTCTCTATATGTTTGTCTCTCACTCCATCTCGGTCTAAATGCCTCTCCCCCATCTGTAGTATCTCTCTTTCTTTTTGTCTCTTTTACCCCCTTCTTCACTCTCTGTATCTCACTATGTTAGTTTGACGGTCTCTGCCTTTCTCTATATCACTTTTTTTTTAACCATCCCTCTCTCACTTTTATAAGTCCATATCTTGCTATCTTTCTGTATTTATATGTTTGCCTCTAGGGTTTCCATATTCTAGCTAAAATCATAACTTCATGTGACCTTGTGGCATACATGCCAACTTGAGAACAAACACAACTGTCTACAATTAACAACACAGAATGGCACTCAGGTTCCGGTGTAAATTCTGCCAGTTTATTTCTCCCAATTCTTCCACTTTATTCAACCACAGTTTATTCCTCCCGATTCATCTACTTTTTTCAACCAGTTTATTCAGTTAAAGCGGTCGCTGCTGGCTTCCACAGTCATCTTGTAGTATTAATTCAAACAACACTTCAGTTAAACTACATCACAACTGTCTTCCTCGGACTCTGCTACCCAACCATAGACTTTCTCTCGTTCATATCTCCAGCCGCAAGTATCCTGTGCCACCATCTCTTGCATATTTTTCTGCTGAGCTTGCTGTGAAGGTGGGCCACTATGCAAAGCATGGTTATCACAACCTCTGTTTGACATGTCAGTTTAAGCATTTGTTTGCTCTCTATGTATTTTGAGAGGGTTGCGGAGCTGACTTATATTGTTTTAGCTTGTATAATTGTTTTCAAGTCCATTCTGATAATGTATTTATGTATTGTTAACCAAGAAGAGAGTTTATGAATAAGAGAACTTGAAAAATGACACAGTCAGGGTCAATAAATAAATTTTGCATAATTGGTTAGGTGTTTTGATGATTTTTTTCCTTTCCAGATTCAGTTCAGGGAGAAGGTGCTATGGACAGCGATCACCTTGTTTGTGTTTCTGATATGTTGTCAGGTGGGTCATTTTATACTTTAGATAAAGCTGAAGTTATTTGAAGCCAGTTAATTTATTGTGCAATTTTTTTTTTTTTTTTTGTGAATATGAAAAATTAAGTGAAAGGCAAAAACTTGTATTGTGGAAAGCTTCATCAGCCGACAGACTAATAATAATCATTATCATGATGTGTCATGCTGACTAACGTGGGTAATCATGGCTCTCCACAACGTGCGATTTCCAACAGTACCTTACACTTCACATGCTGACACTTCTCCATGTCATGACAAAATAACTTTTATTAATCTTCTACATTGTCTTCCTCTTATCTTTTTTACAAATTTCTCCAGTGGTCGCAACATGTTTCAGCTTCCCATTTCTCATAACATGGTTAAAAAAAACATCTGATGTTGTGATACATTGTCTTTGGGTCCTCACCTCTTTTGAAACATCTGAATTAGTCATTTTAGCTAGACAGATAATATGAAAAATTTTATTACAACATTACAATATTGGACAACAGAAATGATTTGGTCATCAGTTTCTCCTCTTGAACCACTCCTTGAATAAGACATATATCTGTAATTTTGGTAATAAAGGTAACATTTCTGGAATTTTGATGCTGAAATAAAATTTTCAATAATGAAAACCAGCCAGAGAGATTACTGGTTGTCATTTCTTGTAAATTTATGTTACTTTATCATGGATTGCTTTAAATCGTGTTTACTTTGATTTTGGCTGATTTAAAAAAAAACTTTGTTTATGGTTGATGGATGTTCGTTTACTCTCTAGATTCCTTTATTTGGCATCGTGTCCTCCGACTCTGCAGATCCATTTTACTGGATTCGTGTTATCCTGGCTTCAAACAGAGGTAATTATAAGATTATGACTATTCATAATGGTAAATAAGACTTACTTAGCACTTAATTGCTCCTCTTGTACTTTAGGGTGTAGAGGTTTCAAGAGAGTTTTGTAAATGAGTGAATATCTTGCATTTTAATGGGGGAAAATGGAGGTGTGTAGTCTAAGTATTGGAAAGAAATTGTTTTATATATATATACATACATACATATATATATATATATATATATATACATACATACATATATATATATATATATATATATATATATATATATATATATATATATATATATATATATATATATATATATATATATATATATCTGGTCTGGTAGTCTTAGTTTTTCAGCTTCATAGCAAACGGGTCGCCCCATCTTTGCTCCGCTCCTGTGCCAGCGAAAAACACTCAGAATGTCTATCACAGTCCCTTGTGGAAAGATTGACAGACTGCTGTCTCAGCATATCTAGCATACACTCGCATTAAAGCATATGGTAGCCATCCGAAGTGCTGACACAAACAGTCCAACATTAGAAATGCAGTTCATCATTGATGATAGCAGAACTTGTCGTCAACAGATCAGCAGTTGTCCGCGTGATCAATTTCAATACGGGTCCCGCCAGCATTGAACGACAGACATCGCGCCATTTTCTGAATCTACAATTCACACCACCACGTTGGTCACAGTCGAAAAAAAAACATTCCAAATGCAATCCGCAGCTCACAGGGTCACGCCATGCATTCAACTCAGAAGCTGGGCGACGAAACTATATCCAGTCTACAAATGGAGCAAAAATGCATCGGCCACCGTCCGGCAGAAGCAAACAATTTGCCTCTGTTGCGAACGGCGCCGCTGTCTAGCGTCCATTTTAATACATATATACATATATATTTATAATATATATATACACACACACATATATATATATATATATATATATATATATATATATATATATATATATATATATATATATATATATATATATATATTATATATATTTATATATATTTATATATATACATACATACCAATATTTAGACCACACACCTCTGTGTGTGAATATTTATGTGTATGTATATATATATATAGGAAATAGAACCGTGCATATATGAGCATATCAAACAAATAAAAATGTTTAGAACACTTTTTTCATATTCTTAGTAAGCATCCAAATTGTCATTTAGTTATAACCAAGCATAGTAATGACATTTCTATTGTTTTTTTTTTTTTAAATAAATAAAATTTAAGTAATAAAAACCAAAAATAAAGGCAGTGTTACTTCATTCAAGCCATTTATACTTGGATTTTCCATTTAATTTTTCTAAAAGATATAGTGGGGAAAGGGTGCTCAGGTCAAAAAGACTTCCTCATGTTTCAGAAAGTTTTGGTTTATGTTCTCTAGATATATTTCCTAGTGAACTGAATATAGTAGTTAATGACAATCTGTGTAATACACTGAATATTCTTGATAGAAAGCATGAACACAACTAAGACTTTGCTGCTGGTTTTGTTTCATCTAGGTACATTGATGGAGCTTGGTATCTCCCCAATTGTCACTTCATCTTTGATCATGCAGCTGCTGGCTGGTGCTAAAATCATTGAAGTTGGTGACACTCCAAAAGATAGAGCTCTCTTCAACGGAGCTCAGAAGCGTAAGTTTACTTAGATTGTACGGGGGTTTATTGATTGCACAGTTGTTGTTGTTTTTTCGACTGTGAGAGAATAAGGCACCTGGGTGTAATCAGAGGGTCTGGCTGGCTCACTACACTCAGAGGAAAGGCAAGACGGACATATCACCAGATTGTGATGGGTACAATCTGTATTGGAACTCTGTGCTGACTGCTGAATATGAGGACAGAGCACACATAAGAATGCCCAGAGTTCTGTGATGTCAATTCTGGACTCATTCAACTTTCTACTGTGATTGCTCCGATAATCTTTGATTTTATGTTTTTGTTCTTATTGCTTTGTTCTGCATAGAATTTTGATATATAAAGATAATATGCTTAAAATATAAAATGCAAATGCTGTAAGAAAGATGAATGCCAGGAAGGGCCGAGTGTTAGACTGGCCTGCGTGCCCAGTTTGCAACCCTTTGGAAATAAAGTCTGTTCGTTCTACATTCACAACACACATTGGATACAGAGTAGGAATAGTTGAATATACATTTTTTAGGTGTAGTTAAATATAATTAACATGGGGATTTTCTTCTCTGTTGATTGTGTTGAGCTGAAAGGTGCAGATATCACAGCCTAGCTGTAAACCACAACACAGTATATGTTCCCATCATCCTTTAATGGGCAAATACAGAAGTTGTCACAAATTGGGTAAGCAGGTCCATCTTATATCTTTAGCCACTTTGTTTACACAGCAGTTGATTTTTTTTGTATCATGCATTTTATAAACAAATATAACACATACACAAAATAAATGTGAAAAGCTTGCATATATACATAATATCTACATTTATGCATACACACCAAGGAAGCTAACTTATATTGATGTTCTGTGTGAATCCTCAGTGTTTGGTATGGTCATTACAATTGGACAAGCCATCGTCTACGTTATGACTGGAATGTACGGAGACCCTGCTGACATTGGAGCTGGTGTCTGTCTGCTTATCATTATTCAGGTACATTATCTGATTCTTCGGAGTGGGTGGGAGGGGTACTTAGTCGTGGTATCTTATTGGGTTGTTATTCTATACGTGAAAGGGAGTCGTGGACAGTTAGCTGATTGGTGAAATATTATGTGGAAACACAGTTGTGTATTTGTGCACATATGCGATCCTAATGGCACAATAAAAAAAGAGTAATGAAGATGTCTTAAAAGAAATTCAGTCAGACTAATAACCCACATCACAAGGAAGCAATCTACTTTTTTAGTAACATCACGGAAAAAGGGAGAAATTAAATTGACACCATGTCATGGAAGCTCACCTGTGTCAGGATTGATTGAAAGTACACAAGACAGACAGTTGTGGATAGACATGGCTACCAACGTAGAAGTGTGCGAAGCAGACTGATAGACACACAAGACCTCAAATCACCCTCTTTCTATCGTGAAAACAGCAGCATAGTTTTTTAAGGTATTTAAAAATCACTGTCTTCCATTGTTTTAAAAAGCACACTGGTTCTCTTTGTAAATTTACTACTGTTTCTTTATTTTCCAGTTGTTTGTTGCTGGTATAGTGGTATTGCTTTTGGACGAGCTTCTGCAGAAAGGTTACGGCCTGGGCTCAGGTATCTCCTTGTTCATTGCCACAAACATCTGTGAAACCATTGTGTGGAAGGCATTTAGTCCTGCAACTGTCAATACTGGCAGAGGTAAGAACATGTTAGTTGCATGTTATCTAGTATAGACTTAACGTAAAATTTGTTTTGTAAATATTACTGATGCTGTTTTTTACAGGGCTATTCAAAGTTTACTGGCGGGCCAAAATGTTGAGAATGAGGATCATCGCGGCCCAGTGGTCAGAGCCATATTGTGGAAAGATTACACACACACACAAATGACAAAAATTGTAATGTGTAGCTTAAACTATAAAATTAGTACTCCTAGCCTAAGGGTCTAACCTACGGTAGTATGAATAAAACAGTGATATAAACCATAGTAATGTAGTAAAGTATACTACAGTCTTTTGTAATTCTTAATTCTCGCTCACTTTTAATTGAAATATATGCATTTCCCACTTGCTGTTGGAATTACAAACACACATTAGCATTTTCACGTGGAGGAGGTTGAATGGTCTCTAGATATTTGAGGGTTCGGGTTCAAGCCCGGTGAGTGCTAGGATTTTTTTCATGTGGACTTCTAGTAATTTCCCCTGGTCTCTGGGTAGTAAGATCAGATGGGTGTGTGTTGTTGCGCATGTAAAAAAATACCCCCACAGTTGGAAATTATTAAAATTTAGATAATTTTAAACACTGGTACTGTTCCAGTTTGTTAGTATACAATCCTCTCCAGCAATCTGTGGTCAGGTTGTGACTTGTGTATGGCTGGACATTCATGAAAATCTAATTATAATCTGATAACAAGATCACTTGCAGGTGTTCTGCTGTGTCCAGTGTCATTAGGTTGTGTCTACCAGTGGCAACAATTTTAGAAGTTTTTCAGTAATCTGAGCGCTAACTATCTAGACCAGGCTGGTTTTTTCATACGCCCTTCTGTCTAATAAACATCTGAACTTCACTGACTGTCTTGTAGAGCGATTGCTTTCATTCCAGTTACTAGATTCCCACCCCCCACCCCCGACATGTGAGTTCTAACTATTTAGACTAACTTGGACCCATGCATGAGACACATCCCGCAGTTGTATTATTTTTTTCTGTTTCTACTCTGGTGGGGTTTCCTTGTGTCTGCTTGTTTACACATCCATCACAACTTGTTTTTGAAGATTTATACAGAACACATTGATTTTTTTTAAACAATGGCATTTCACTATTTTGGCAGCGATCAGCAGTCCAATTGCTAGGCCTCCATGGCCAGAATTGGCCCGCGGCCCACCAGTTTAGTTCAGTAGATGTTACTGATTTCAATTTCTTTGTTTGTTTCATGACGCAAATTAGATGAAACTGATTTAGTTACATGACACCAGTTCAGTTAGAACTTGCCAAGGAAACTGGCACCAGTTCAGTCAGAACTTGCTAAGGAAAACTGGCAACATTTGTTTTATACGATGTGTGAAAATTTGGCCTGAGTGAAAATAACACACTTGGTCATTATTTCCCTCTTGACCATCAGCTGCCACCTTTCTGAGACTGACAGTGTATTTCAAATAGCAGATTTCCCTGAGTGGGCTCCAGGACCCTTACATGGGGTGGAGGGGTTAGGGTGAATGTTACACTATTACCTAACGAGCAAGTTGTAACAGACGACTAATTATGAGTTTGCCAGAATTGGATTTAGTGGGCAGAAGTGCACATATATCGCAGCCTAGCTGTATACTACAACACAATATGCCAGCCATCCTTTTAAGGGCAAGTGCCGAAGAAATTTTGCTTATCTTGGCTATGAATATTGTAAACTAAGAGTTCATATAGTTAATCATGCATTGGCTGACTATAAGATCCTGTGTGTGCATTTTGATTACCCTGACATCTGAATTTCTCTCATCTTTGCCAGGTACTGAGTTTGAAGGTGCTGTCATTGCCCTGTTCCACCTGCTGGCCACCAGACAAGATAAGGTCCGCGGCTTGCGTGAGGCATTCTACAGACAGAATCTGCCAAACTTGATGAATCTGTTGGCTACAGTTCTAGTCTTTGGTATTGTCATATACTTCCAGGTCAGTCACCAGAAATAGAATGTAGTTTTCAAAAGTTTAGATTGTGTCAGTAGTTTACTTTCTACCGAAGCAAAATCATCTGAGCTGGTTAGGATATGCCCTCCGCATCAAAGATGGTTGCATTTAAAAGGATTTGCAGTATGGTAGTGGAAAAGATCTGCATAAAGGCCAAGGCTGTGCTGTAAGGAAGTCTTAGGAGAAAACCAGCCTGAGAAAAATGGAATGTTGTTTTTATGTGGACTGTGTGGTAGAGACTGTCACGCCCGCATCAGGCTTTACAGTTCCCAAAACCAGCGGCACATCTCTATGATCACTAGGGTGGTATGTAGAACAGATGTACCACTGAGGTGCAGCAGAAGTGACCAAATAAGAGGTTGATAACTGCATTAAAATATCGGAGACAAATAGTTGGAGAGTTAGTTATTTAAGTCCAAGCCACCGAATAAGAAAAATAATACGGAAAAGGCCCTTTTTACACCTGTGGCGTATGGACATATAAGGCTTGACTCATTTTCATTGACCAGTCAGTGATACTTTCAGCCAAAATGGACGCTAGACAGGGTCACTGTTGTGAGTCGTGGCAAAGTTTTTGCTTCTGCCAGATGGTGGCCGTTGCATTTTTGCTCCATTTGTAGACTGAAAGGATATAGTTTTGTCACCTATCTACTGAGTTGAGTGAATGGTGCGGATTTCATTTGGAATGTTTTTGGACTGTGACCAACGTGGTGTTGTGAATTATAGATTCAGAAAATGGTGCATGGCCTGTCGTCGCAATATTGGTGGTGCCCTTTTGTGATTAAAATTGATCACATGTGCAACTGCTGTTTTGTTAGTTACCTCTGCTACCGTTGATGATGATCTGGATTTCTAACGTCGGACTGTTTGTGTTAGCACTTCTAATTGCTACCGTATGCTTTTAATGCGTGTGTATGCTAGTGCATATGCTGTGACAGCAGTCTGTCAACCTTTCCACAAGGGACTGTGATGAATATTCTGTGTGTTTTTCGTTGGCATGGAAGCGAAGTAACTATGGGGTGACCCTTTTGCTATGAAGCTGAAACTAACAATACCATTACCAATCAGCACTCAGTGTTTACTCAACATCATGTTGGCCGTCTTTACTTATCAGGACTTTGCCTGGTTACCATTTTAGACCAGGTCAGCCTGGTAGCCAATGTTTTCAAGCTCGGTTTTGAAGGAAAAAAAATCTCATCTCCATGATGATTTAAACCAAAGACATTTGGGCTGGCATACAGTCTAGCCACTCAAACTAATCGGTACCGCTTTACATAACATACTCAAATAACCCAATTATATCTCATTGTAGATCTCTTAAAGCAGATAGTCTGTATTCTTTTATCACATTATTTATTACAAGTGTTTCATAATTTTTGTTGCTTCGTTTCCAGGGTTTCCGAGTCGACCTTCCCATCAAGTCTGCCAGATACAGGGGTCAGCAGACTTCATATCCCATCAAGCTGTTCTACACCTCAAATATACCAATCATTCTTCAGAGTGCACTTGTCTCTAATCTTTATATGATCTCACAGGTAGGCCATGTTCTTTTTTGATGATTGTTTGCCTTTGTGTCTTTCTCCTATTTTTATATTCTGTTACACGTGTATCACTTCCACTTGTCTTTTACACCTCCCTTTGTTTTTCTCTCTCTTTTCTTCCTCGCCATCTCACTCCCCTTTTCTTACCGGTATTTTCCCTCTCTCGCATGAGAAGTTTAGGGTACAAGAAGCCTCATTTTTCATAGCCACTTTTTGTGTGTAAAGGAAGCGGGGAAGAGTGGATATTAAGTTGTCTTACTTGTGATTTTATGAGCAACTTAAAGGCTGATAGAAAGACTGGGACTTTATTTTGCAATGTGTGTAGTCATGAACAAATGTCTATTATTATGAGCCAGTCTCAGAAAGTTCAGTGTTATGAGGAAGTAACTAGAACTGAAGTGACGTCTGGGGCTACAGGTGTAAAGTAACCAGCACGTACTAAGTGGGTTTACTGGTTTAGATTTGGAAACTTTCTCACCGGTAGTTTCACACACCTGACAATATGCGGACATAACATGCACATCCATGCAAAGTCATGTAAGGACATCCACTGCACAGCCAACCCCAATGTAGGATGTGTGGCTACAGGTGTCAAGTAACTAGCACATATTTAATTTTGCTCTGGGAGCTCTTGGTGTAAAGTAACTAGCACGTGCTGGGTGGGTTTTGTTCTGGGACTACGGGAGTAAGGTAACTAGCCTGTACTGGCTTTTATTCGGGGGGGGGGGGGGGGTTTACAGGAGTAAGGTAAATAGCATGTATTGGGGGGGGGCAGGGAGGTTACAGTAGTAAGGTAACTAGCATGTACTTGCTTTTATTCGAGGGGTTACAGGAGTAAGGTAAATAGTGCGCACTGGACTTTTATTTTGGGGGTTACAGGAGTAAGGTAAATAGTGCGCACTGGACTTTTATTTTGGGGGTTACAGGAGTAAGGTAATTAGCATGTACTGGGCTTGTGGTGTTGGCAGTCATGTCTGTCCATATCTTCTGTCTCATGTACATTCAGTCAGTTCTGACACAGGTGATCTTTTATGCCATGCTGTCAGACTATCCATCATCTTCTGTCTTGGTCTCCTTCTGCCTCTTCCCCCCTCCAGCTTTCCCATCATGATGTGCTCCAGTTTTCTCCTTCTCATGACATGACCAAAGAGTGTATATTGTCTTCTTCAGTTCTCTAAATGAGTTATTTTTCAAGACATCTTCATTACTCTTTTTATCTGAATTAAATACCTTCACGAATGTGTTGTCCTTCTGCTGCTGTCTTTTATTTCATTGTTAAGCATAGTTTTAGTTCTTTTGTTCCTAAATAGATCGGTCTTACCATCATTTACGAAAAAGTTTTATTACTCTGGGGAAACATGTATCCCTTGTATTGCTTTGAACACTTAACATTCCTACAGTATCGTACCGGCTGTTTAATCATTCTAGTTTTCTTTTTTCAGATGCTGGCAAACAAGTTCAGTGGCAACTTTTTTGTCAACTTGTTGGGTGTTTGGGCTGTAAGTATGTTTGGTCATTTAATGTATTGTTTCCTTAAACCTTGGATACACATTTTCCATGGCTTAGATCTGACTTAGATGCCCAAAAGCATGTCGTTTGAGTCAACTAATTTAGAGCTTCCTTCGAAGTCGGAGTGCTTCTGTCTAAGAGGCAAGGAACCAGCAGACTGCATACATATGGGTCAGACCTGTAAAAAGAATGCACATGGAACACTCAGGTTCTGGAATAGGACTGCAGTCCAGAAGTGGATGAACAACCAGAACTTTCCGCCAGAGTTTACAGCTGGTGAACGTGAAGAAGAAGAAAAAAAGGATCAGGTATTTCCTACATAGGAAGAAACAGATTTTGTGTATGTGTGTGTCTGAAATGTATATAATATAATAAAATTGCTGTGAGTTTATTGAGAATTAGAAATATGAATTTTTTATTTGACCTTTTTAACATATGTGAGCTGCTGGGGAATAAAAAAAAATAAGTCAAGGATAATTATTTTATTTGTTTATAATAATATAGTATTTTGTCTAAATTATTATAATTGTGTATAGTTACAAGACGGAAATAGTGAACAAAAATGTTAAATAGGAGTAGGCCGTGAGGCAAGGCAAGAAGACGGTAGAGAGTGAGAATGTACAGACAGACCTACAAGCATTTGCAGTCATCAACTGGAAAGAGAAGGCCAGACACTGAAATCAATTGAGGCAGATAGTATTTGCAAACGGTCTGAGAAAAAGAGGCGGTGAACCCCAAAGTTGGAAATGCTGAAGAATGGGAAAGATAATTGTTATTCTGTTAAAAGAAATATTAATTTTTTTAAACGTTTTTTTCCTCTTTAGGATGTTGGTGGAGGTGGCCCAGCCCGATCTTACCCCATTGGAGGTTTGTGCTATTACTTCTCCCCGCCAGAGACGTTAGGGCACATCTTAGAGGATCCCATCCATGCTGTGCTTTACATCATTTTCATGCTGGGGTCTTGTGCTTTCTTCTCCAAGACATGGATTGATGTGTCAGGATCCAGTGCCAAGGATGTGAGTGTGGATTTGTTCTGTCTTTATTATGGTAACAATGTCGTATCATGGGATTCTTTTCATCCTAAGCAGTATAGCTTAACATAAATCTATAAAATGTATACTAGGTTCTTTTTCTTGGACAGTTAAAGGAAACATGTTAGATGCTTTTTTTGTTCTTTCTGGGACAGTAAATGCAGTGATTATGTCTTCAGTACCTTTTATGGTACTGAATAATCAAAATATGGACCTGGGATGTAAAATGGCTTCTTTAATTTAGGAAGTGTAAAAAGGACCTTTGCTTTTTCTTTAAAAGGGGACCTTTCCCTTAACTTTAACCAGGGGCCTGTTCCAACATTTGGACAGATGATGTTAGCTCTATATATTTATAGATGTGATCTCTTAGTTGTCTGTATTCCACAATGAGGTTGATTGCTACAGATCTCCAGGCTGTCGCTTTGACCGCCTGTGACTGATGCTGCTCCATTTTCTGAACAACTGTTGTCACTTTTTTTAAGTAAGAGGAGGCAGCAGAGTACTGGCAGTGGCTACATGCTGGTCTAGGGGCCTTGGGTTTAAACCTGTGCCCAAGGAAGATTTTTGTTTTACCTAGGGTTCTACAGTCCTTGTCAAGCAGTGGGTGCTAGAAAGTGTCCTGAGAAATAAAGGTGGCCTTCATGGTGTTGACCACACTGCCATTCATGGCAGATTGGTACTTACAAATTTGGGAGCTTATGCAGCAGTGATGTTTAAAGGATTTTTATTTTTCAATGTGTTTCTGAATGCCGTCTGGTAGCTGCTTTGTCATTTCAATTGTTCTAAATGAGATGTGTTGCCAGCATTAATTTATCTTATTATCATAATCCGTGTGTGTTATTATACGCCACATCGGGCTTGCATTAGATTCCTCTACTCCCATGTGTTGCTTGCTGATGTTGAGTTCAGCGCTGCATTTTCAGCTTCTCGTAATGTTCTTCCTAATGTTTACCTTGTATGTGCTCTGTTTCTTAGACCATTTGTTTCTCATTTCAATGCTTGTTTTGTAATTCTTTTCTCATTTCTTCTAAGCGTGTGTCCAATATATCACCACCCTTTTTGTCTTTTTGCAGACAATACACATATTTGTCCAGACATTTCTCTAATCTCACTTTTTTTATTTAAATTATCACATTTTATGTTCATGATTTTTCTGACATGTATTTTCGTATGCGTTTCACTTTTGTTCCATATCTTTGGCAGTTCTCCAACTTTTGCTGGCATATTTTAGAATTGAAATAACATTAAAATTGAGGATCTGTAGTTTGGTCTGAATGTTGTAAAACTTTAAGCTCCATATCTGTTGTGGCTTTGTCACTGCATATCATAATTTCCTTCATTGTGTCTCCTTATGAGTCAAAAGTGCTACCCAGATAGGCAGTTGTACGTTCTTTAACAGAACAACTCCAGATCTTAAAGCTGTCTGTTCTCTACCCAGTCAGTGCCAATGTTACCTTTGCAACTTTTTCATAACCAATCAATGGCTATACCAACCAACAGGGGAGATAGAATGCTGCAGCCTGGTTGCACTCCAGTTACCACCCACAAATAACAATAAAAAGCCTTTTCCCCTTGAGTTTTGCATCTTTAATAAGAAGTAATATTTGAACGCTGTCTGGTAACTGCTTTATCATTTAAAATTGTTCTTCAATGAAATGCATTAATGTTCAGGTTCCCAGCCTAAATTTATCCTAATATGAAATTTGTTAAATTCTTTAGGTTGCCAAGCAGCTGAAAGACCAGCAGATGGTGATGCGGGGTCATCGTGAGAAGTCCATGATTAAGGAGCTGAACCGTTATATCCCAACTGCAGCAGCCTTTGGAGGGTTGTGTATCGGAGCTCTCTCAGTTCTTGCAGATTTCTTGGGTATGTCTGCCTTTATTTGTCTATTTGGATCATGTTTTGACCATTTTTTATATGTAAGGTTTTTATAAGATGCAATGATAACCTTTCGACCTTTCTGTGCTGTTTCTTACGCCATGTGCCAAATTGGGTTAGTAATTTTTTCTCCAGAGTCATTCACATCCATTTCTTGATAAATTAACTGCTGGCTTTCCTATGCCATGGGAGTCGCCGTGGTAGAGCAACTAGACGCTCGCCTGCAAATCAGAAGGTCATGGGTTCGCTCCCTGGCAGAGCTTTGATTTTTTAAAATGACTTTGGCTCCCAGATCGACCCAGCCTTCATTTTACTTTAGGCAGCTAAACAGACATTTCTAGGTTCATTTTTACACCACTATAATTGTCTTTGTGCATAAACTTCTACTGAGATGAACTGTATACTTAGATTATTTATAGCTTGCTGCTATGCTTCTGTGACTACCATTTTCAGCAGCCTGTGTTTTTCTCTACTGGTGTTTCCTAGCTTCAGTATTTTTCCTGAACAATTTTAAAAACAAGGACCCTTCTTTCGCCATTGGTTGTTGTTATCGATCCAGCGGCGCATGAGCTTTCGACCAATGCCATGTAGTGGAATTTGCATGTTTTCACAAGCTGTTCTTTTCCTCCGTACAAGGTGTTCGACTTGTCTGGTCTCGGAGGGAGTAGCATTCTTCTAGTCTCGCTGAGTTTTGGGTATTCAAAGAGATGGTATTCAACAGTTTCATAGGGGTAGTAACATAGCTGGCACTCTGGAGTGTGTGGTGGCTTTATTCTGTTTAGATGTCCATTGAGTGGAGTATGTTGCGTTCTAAGTCTGAAGATGGTGGCCTGGTCCCTTCTTGTTAGATGGTTAATGCTGTCATTAGGATCAGGGCCAGCCATGTGTCTATAAACCTCTCTTCTAGTGTCTCCCATAGCCCATCTATTCAACCAAGTCTCTTTGTTTATAGCTCTTATAAGTGTTTTTTGCTGTCTGGAGGGTTGTCGCTGTTGGTGGTTGTTCTTGTGTTGCTCCTTTCTTTGCCAATCTGTCATTACCTGGTGTGCCGGAGTGACCTGGAATCCACTGCATCACTATTCTGATGTTGTATGAGGTAATAAGCTGATCAGCATCCAGGATTATCTTGGCTATGTCAGTTCTGCAGCGTTCACTGCCCTCCAGAGCTTGAAGGGCAGACATTGAACCTGTGAAGATAATATTTTGGACCTTTGATGGGTAAACATCCATTACAGTCTTTAGGTGGTATACTGCTGTTTCCAGTGCAATTATTTCAGCTTCATAATTTGAACAGAATTCCCCGCATGCATCAAAAATCTCTTTAACAGATCCATCGGGATAACCTATGTAGATTCCGTAACCTGCTTTAATGGTAGCTTTAAATGCTGATCCATCAGTATAAACATGTATCCATTCTTGGGGGTAAGAATCAAGGGTCTTTAGTGATGAGTTCATAAGAGCGATTGGGTCGGACTGTTTGGTTTCCTTGCCTACCAATTTAATTAGGACTTTTGGAGCTTTAAATCGATTATGTGGTGGTATGTTTCTTGCAACATTCTGAATGCCTTGACGTCTTTCTGGTGGTATCTGTCCTGAATTTCATTAACACAGTGTAAAACCGATTTGTGCTTTATTCTTTGTTTGTATTCCCAGTTTTCTACAAGGTGTCTATTAGGATGGTTACGATTCTTTCTAACGCTTCTTTCATAAATTTCCAAAGTGGCCTTTTCCATCTGCAACCCGAGGGGTTCCATATTTGTAGCAGTTGGTGTAGACTGCATAGCTCCGCAGATTAATCGGAGAGCATTATTTTGTACTCTGTCAAGAGTCTCTAGGTTAGTTTTGGAGCAGGTTGTAAGCATTGAGTTGTTGTACTCTATCACAGAGCGAACATATCTAAGATATAAGCCCCTTAGTGTTTCCTTGTCTGATCCCCATGATGTACCTGCAAGTCTCTTCAATAACTGTGACCGCCTCAATGCCTTATTCCTTATGTTTTCATTATGATTCTTGAGGCTGAGCTGCCGGTCAAGTGTGACTCCAAGTAGGATGCTTTTCTTTCATCACTTGGTGTTTGTCTTTTGTCTAACCTCAGGTTAATATTCTTCCTTGCTACTTGATGACTTTTGGTATGATTGCGTAGACTGTCTTTGCACAGTTAACCTTGAGTTTCCATCTTTGGCAGTACTCATGCAGTCTTCTAAAGTCACCATTTAGTCTTTTGGCTCCACTTTCCACATTTGGCCATTGGTAGGTCAGGCATATTTTTTTGTGTGTGCAAACTTGAGATTCCTCACCTATTATGAAGAAGCACTTAGACTTTGAAGGAAACACGCTTAATTATTCGACTCATATCATGCTTGTTAGAGGGCCCTGAACCTACACAGGGACGCCAGATTCTATTTACATGTCTGTCTTTCTACAGGCCCTGTAAATCCATACTTTAATCTTAGTTTATGACCCCCTTCCACCCACTGTTGTATTAAAAAGCATTGTTATAGTTTACCCTGAGACACTAGCAGTAGAGAAAAGGAAGCAGAGGACATTTTGACTCTTGGGTTTTTTTTTTAAATCTATGGGGTTGAACACCTAAACTACTGGAAAGAGAGGAAAGCACAAAGGCCCAGTTTCTTCGGGGCACTGGAACAGAAAATTACCAGTGGAATGCATTGTCTCTGTAAGGTCACTAACAACACAAGAAGGGATGGGGTTATGAATTCCAGCATTAGAGAGAAAGTTGGAATCAGACTGTGCCTGAATTATGTTGACAGATAAAAAAAATGGTTTGGCCATCTAGTGAGTATGCAGCCAGAGCAAACTGAATGAGATTTTTTTTAAACAGAAGAACATTTGGGAGGAAGGTGAGGGGAATATCAAAGCAGCCATGGATAAATAGTGTACCCGAAACCTGCAAAAAGAATAACAAATCCATCATCCAAAGCCCCCCTCATAGAAATGCAAGGCAAATACTGAAAACCGCATCACTGGGCCACAGCCTGGTTGGTGTGGGTGAGACGACAAAAGTGTGGCCACCCAAAAACCTCATGTCATAAAAGCCTGCAAATGCCCGAAGAATGGTTTTCTCAGCACAACATGGGTGAGAAGCTAGACTTTCAAATGACTGGCTAATCAAAGCTCTCAAAACAAGTCTCATTCTTTCAGAAAATAACCGTTCAGTCATCCAGTAACCTGTGTTTCACATTTTCTAAATCCCTCAATCCTAGGTGCCATCGGTAGCGGAACTGGAATCCTCTTGGCTGTGACAATTATTTACCAGTACTTTGAATACTTTGTCAAGGAGCAGAGCGAGATGGGAGGAATGAGCACCCTACTCTTCTAACTGGACTAGACCCTGAGAAACAGAAATGAAACACCTGTTATGTCATCACAGTTGTCTGTTTGTTAGATTATGAAAGCGTATTTATTTATTGTTGTTCTAACCTGGTTTTTTTAAAGACCACAAAAATTAGCATTGCAGAATTTGAGTATCCAATACAAATGCTTTTAGTTGAAATTTTGTGTTTGATGGAAGGACAGCATTTGTGTTCAGTCAGTGCAGACATTATTTTCATTGAACATTTGTAATGTTCTTGTTGCTTGTCTTGGGAGGTTGCGTCTTTGGAAAGTGGACTGCAGATCTCAGTGATTTCTACTGAAAAATAGGGTGGTAATTAGTATCTCCATGGAGACTACATTATGTTTGTGATATGTTTGTAGAAAATAGACTTGTCAAGTAATATCTTAGTGGAAGGTGGTAGCATTGTGGGAAATACCAGTTTGTGTAAGTAAGCCTTTATTAGTGGTATTTTTATGAAAAGTAAGTCATTCTGATTGTTTTGTGTGTGTGGAAAGTAAGCTTTTGAAGTGGCTTTTTGTGGAAAATGGGTTATTAAAGACAAATGGGTGAGCACTAATTTTGTCAGTAGCAACATTTAGTCTCAGATTATTCAACAATGAAAACTACGAATGACACAATTTAGTTATCAAATTCTAATGTTTGTATTCAGTCATGTGACCATCAGATTTCTAATGTTTGTATATGAGATATGGTGACAGTGATTAGGATGCCCACCCGCTGGCACGGCAATCGGGCTTCAATTTTCAGTCCCAGCAAGGTTGCATTTTGTATGTGTGGAGATGTATGACTGGAATGAAATCTGATATTGTTCTTTGAAGGAATGATCGCTGTCTGCATTGTCTGCAGTGGGATTAACACCCATTTGTTTCCCCGGGTGTTTAAGAGCTCTAGTAAACGGGCACTGTGGCCACATAGTGTTTAGAAGAAATGCACACATTAGATCAGCAGCAGCAATGAAAAAAAAAAACTTAACAAAATCACAGTCTAAACACAGACACAGCTTTCTCATTAGAAGAAAACTTCATTGGTCAGTTATTGTGGTGTTTTTATTTACTCCTGCTACTACTTGAAATTTCTATGTGAAAAGGTACAAATTTAATCACCTTTGCAACAAACACAGTATAAGTGACTTCATAAAACCACATTCATTAGTTCAGTTTCTGATATTTTTGTGTGTGCGTGCGTAAGTCCCCTCATACATATACTGTGCATTTAATTTTCGCTCTGTTTTCGTCAAATTTTTTTTTTTTGGTTGTGCTCAGCTCATTGTGTTTGAAGTGACTGATTAGCTACAGTAGAAACTTTCAGAGTTTATTCACAAAATTGTGATGGTCATAGTTTTTAAGTGATCTATTGGATACATCTGGAGACTTTTTGTCCTCACCCGATTGGGCATTTTTCAGTTTGCTGGTACACTGTTGTCATGTGCTGCTGTCTGGTAACGGGTTAGAGTAACATTTTTCGTTTAACAGCCATTGCCATTTTTATAGGTTTTTTGGTGTTTTTTGTTGATTTGATTAAATGTCCCCAATAGTTGTAGTGAGTGTGTCTGTGAGTGGTCAACCATCATGAGTTGGATGTGAGTAAGGAAGCCATTTATTATTCAACTGTCTGCTCTTCAGTGTTTTGTATTATTTAATGTATCATTTGTTAGTCATTGTTATTTACCATTATTTATCATTGTCTCGTTTGGTAGAATGTGAATTGTGCTTATTGTTTGTCATTATCTCATTTGATTGAATGTGTTATCATTTGTGTCTTATTTTGTTTTAATTCTCATTGCTGTTCATTCTATTCTCATGGCTATTTGTTGTTTACATTGGTTTCGAATGTTAATTATGCATGTTAAACTTCTTTTTGAAATAGTTGGGGCTTTGTTTGTTCATGGTCAGGAAAAGTTTTTGGACTTTGTAGTCCATGCTCAGGACTTTTCTTTTTGGCAAGGCCCATTCTTATAATGGGTCATATGATGATGTGGTTGGCTTTGGCATATGGATGGTGGAAATAAGCAATGAAGCAGCTAATGTGTAGTCTCTAGCATGTCTCTTTCTATGGAAGTTTTTGTTGTGAGAGGTATGTTATGCATTAAAAGTTGAATAAGATTGTTTTTCTCTCTCGCTGTTTTATACTGATATGTTTTATGATGGTTTTGAATGTCTGTTTTAGGCAGTCCACTGGTTTGCTTCTATTTCTTTCTCTTCTACCTTGTATCTTTGGATAAGGGCTGAAGCCCAGAAACCGTCAGACTGTGTACACCACTGTTCAGTGTTTGGATTTTGTGGATGGTTTTCAACAGCCAGTCTTGTGGGTAGTTGTTCACTACTTACTCTTTCATTATTGTCTCACATTTTCCATGCCTCATTTCAGTTACTTAAAACTATGGAAAGCAGTAAAGCAGTTTTTAATCAAAAGAACTCATCTGCCTGTGTAAATTCACAAAGAAGCCATCACAAGAAGTCTTTATTCGGTTTCAGGACAAAACTTAGCCCATATGCTTTTATCTAAGAGTTGACCTCGACAGGGTACTTTGCCACCTGTCATATCAGATCTTCCCAATACATGCCTGCGTGATGGAATGTGTGTTTCGAACCCTCTCACACACCAGGCATGCCCAGCTGAGGTTTATGCTGCCATAGATGTGTGACAGCTAGGGTAACCAGCATTCATCTAGTCACCTGAACAGTGGAGATGCAATGATTTCTCTCATCCTCCACCCTGAAATTTATTATATCATCTGTTTCTTCAAATCATGTTTGATTATTAGTAATCACTTGTTGGAAAGTTCCCTTTCATATTTGTCAGTAGTGTGCAAGACTGTTTGTCAGGTTTTGTCATTTGAAATAGTTTCAGAAATGGAGGACAAGTCAAAATTTGTGTCTGCGTTTTGATTTTAAATACCATTGAAACATTAATAAAAATGTAATGATAGCTTGAATTAAATTGTAATTATCTTTACTCATGTGTGGTGTTAGATGCTGAAATTTGTGATGTTACTTTGTACTACGTAGACGTAGCTTGTTAATCAGCACATTACAGGGGTCATTTCAAATAAAATGCACAATTTTTGTTTGCCTATTGTTGGGAGCATATGGGCAGTTAGTCTGGAGCACATATGGACTACCAAAACAGGCCAAAAGTGCCACTGAAGTAATAAAATGCTCATTTTCTGAAGGTTATTGTCCCAGAGGCTAGCTGACTCATGAGGGAGATCTGGATTTAAATCCTCGGTGTGGTTTGGAAATGTTTTCTATTCGGGGAAAGGGGGGGTTGGAATCCCTGCACAGTCAATGGCAACAGCACTAGCCATGCAACCCTAAATTCCCACGTTTAAGGACCTGCCTGCCCACACTGCAAAAGTGGTTAATACAGGCAGTGTTGGTAATTTTTATTGTCTCAGATTTGCACACTGCTTCCTGTAAGTCTCTAAAGGGGCAGTCGTTGATTAGTGAGAGGTTCGGTGTATGGTAATTAAGATATGGAAGTGAGGTTAAGCAGGCAAGTGCAGGATGTGGCAGTTCTTTAGGTGTCTAGTACCAACACACTATATATTAAAGTAAGTAAAGAATAAACGAATTACTTTTTGCTGATGATCAAAGCATACTGTATCAAAATGAATATGATCTACAGGAACATCTGACTACTCTCAACAACAGCTGTTTACAACATAATATGAGAATCAGTACAGAAAAAACAGAAGTTATGAAGATCAGCAGAACACACAGGCCACTGAATATAAATGTTGGAAGTGCCAAAATCAAGCAAACCAAAGAGTTCAAATACTTGGGCAGTATATTTACAGAGGATGGAAGAATGGACAGAGAGATAGAAACAAGAATACAGAAAGCAAATGCTGTCACATACCAACTATCACCTCTGCTTAAACATCCAGATATAACCATGAAGACCAAAAGACAATTGATAAACACCATCTTCATTCCAACACTCTGCTACCAGTGCCAGACATGGACAATCAACAAGACCCATGAAAGAAAAATAGAAGCCTGTGAAATGAAATGTCTAAGAAAAGCAGCGAATAAGACAAGACTAGACAGGATAAAGAATATAGACATTAGAAACACTGTCAAAACTACACCATGTTTAGACTACATAGAACATCAAAGAATGAAATGGTTTGGACATCTAACCAGGATGAAAAATGATCAAATAACATCACAAATTTTCAATCAAAGAAGCTCAGGATATAAGGCAAGAGGAAGACCAAGGAAACGGTGGATTGACGGGGTCTCCGAAACCTGCCAAAAGCATGGCCTCAGAACATCAGATGCTGCCCGCCTTGCTTATGACAGGAACTTGCATCTCCCCACAACGCTTAGCGGCATACGTGGAAGGAAAAAGTAAAGTAAAGTAAGTAAGTAAAGATCCCTTTTCATGCCATTAGGCGCATCGGCATATGGTAAGAGCACCCATTTTTTTACAGACCAATCCGCAGAAGGTGGGTAGTGTGATCAGCACTACACCGGCCATCTTTACTTTCCCAGGACATACATCTTGGTGCCTATTTTAGGCTGGGTCGACCTTCAACGCCCCATACTGAGATACAAATCCATGCAGCCAGCAGTGGGTTCGACCGTGGTACGTTAGAATTACGAGTCAGACTTGCAACGCTGCACACTATATATTGGCTCAGCTTATTTAAAAATCTTGAATGAGACCGAATGCCTGTTACATGAGTGCCTTTACTTAAGGGCTGAAGATCATGCAGGCAGCAGTTCTGCATGGGCCCGTTGATCGTACCACCTGTAGACTAGGGTCAAAGATGATGATTCAACAGTAAAGTTGTGCAGTCATGCACAAAATTAACCAGAATAGCTTACCAAGACAACAGAATGCCCAAAGTCAGATACTGAGAACTGTTTTTCCGTTCGAAATTCAAAAAATGCTGACACAAACAATATATTGCACAATTCATTGTCTGGTATAATTAGCTATATTTCGTCCAGTGCATTACTACAGAGTAAAAT